GAGCCATTTTGAGCAAGTTATAAATTCCCAAAGCATTTAAACAGAAATCTGAAAAATCATTTCTTAAACCCTTTCAAAAATCAGTCGACGAAAATGCTGGGTGCACCCAGTGCTATGCACCCAGACCCGAGCCAGGGCGCTGACGAGCGGGCCCCCACGGTCAACGGCCCCCACCTATCGGTCAGACCGAAGCAAGGGCGGCGGCCGACCGTCGGCTCGGCTCACGCCGGACGGAGCCAGCCCGGCGGTGGTGGTCACCACCACCACCACCACCATGACGAGGCGGCGAACACTGTGCACCAAGAGAAGGCACGGGAGGAGCTCGGAATAGGGCTCGACGGCGCGCATGGCGGAGCGGTGGCGCTGCTCACCGACGACCGGCCCTCTCCCGCCGAGAAGGGGCGCGAGAGGTGGTGTGGGAGCTTCACCGAGCTCGTGCGGTGTTCGTGCGCGCGAAGGGAGAGCGAGGAGGACAGAGGGGCAAGGTCCACGGAGCGGAGTGCTCGGCGAGCCTCGGCCACAACTCCGGCGAGATTCCTGTGGAGAGGAGCTTCTCACGGCTTATCGAGGCAAGCACGCGCAGCAGCGAGGAGGCGAGGCTGCGGCGAGATGGAGGGTTCAACGGCGAAGCTAGGGACGGTCATGCATGAAAGCGAAGTTCCGGCAAGGCGCGACGCACGGTGAGGGCGGCGCGCGCCTGCGGCTGCCATTGTTCTTCTTCTTGAGCGAGCGAGAGCGAAATGAGATGGAGGAGGGAGGCGACGCCGCTCGATGATGGAGGCGAGCGTGGAGGCGGGCGCAGGCGGTAAGGGGCTGCAAGGCAGCGCGTCGTCGCCGGCGCATGATGACATGAAAGCGCCCTGACGTGGTGCTTGGCGAGCTGATTTGGCGGCGGAGGCAGGCCGGGCGGCTGTCTGACTGGGCGAAAAAGGAGGCGGCGGCCAAAGAAGGTGAAAAATGAGATTTTTCAAATTATTTTCAATTCCATTTTCATTCAAACGAAATTTTGAACTATTTCAAAACAGTTTCAAAAGTTGGTGTAAAAATGAAAGTTGTTCCATTTTTCAAGATCTACAACTTTGCTTTTATGACCAAAGTCCAATTCCAGATAGATTTTGAATTACAAAATAAAATCGATATTAACTCAAAACCCTAATTTTTGGAGAATTGTTTAAAAGCAAAATTTGGCAAACTTTGAATATGAACTTGGCTCCAAATTGTATCCTAAATATACATAAGCTATTTTAGTGATCAAAACAAGAACCATGGCATCCAAACATGAGCATGGCATTTCACATCGTTTGAAACATGAATAAATTTTCAATCAACTTAAGCATCACATGAAATGATACTTCATTTGTTTCGAAATGGAATGCGTGAATGATGCTTATGCATGAGGTGATGATGATTATGCTCATGGGATGAAATGATAATGCACGCTTAACACCGAGGTGTTACAATTATCAGCAAACAACCTGGTGTGATGACGCTTGTGGACCAGGAGTCCACGACAAAAGTAACTGGAAGCTGCCAAGAGGACTCCAATCATGCATAGGCCTAAGGTGGTCAGAGAAAATATAAAGAACTAACACACTCAAATCACAGAACTTGCTAGAACTGTCCCTTGCACCATCCCTGAAAGTGCTAAGAGCGTTTAATATATAGGAAATCACAGTCAGAAAAAAGTGCTCATAAAAGGATATAACTATACAAACCTGTGGAAGTATGATCCTCTTGGATTTCTGTCCAGTTGCCATCCAGAAAGAAATGAGAAGTTCCCTGCAGTCAACAAAAGTTATGCACCTAGAGGAATCCAAAGATGTAGGAGTGAAAAAAACTAAATTGTTTGTGTTAGACCCATCCGTGAAGGTATTATACAATGGAAAATATGATCCTCTCTATGCTTAATCAAATATAGGTCTCAGATTAATCTATGTCACAATATATAAGAACCATAAAATACACCACTTAATAAAACTGTGCTGCCAACTATAAATCTTTCATGCACCTATGAGCTGTGGCACAACTACGCATTTTCTGTACACATCTTAATTGTTGAGACAATCATGATATTCACAGGATTTGAAAACATACCCTGATTATAACTTTTGGATTAGAAGCAGATGTGTTTTCTTTATGAGCGCGCAGACTTCTAAAACACATTGAGCACGTCGGGCAGCGTCTTGGACAAGACCTTCTTCTCCGGGACGCAGTAGAAGCCGACGCGGTCCGAGTCGGGGTCGAACGGGAGCAGCAGGAGCGGCCCGAAGGTCGTGAACGGGACGACGGTGCGCCATGGGGAGCAAGCGGATCGGAAGGACGCCGCGTCGTGGCCTGACGTGAGACGCTGCCCGATGGACTAGAGGAGATCCTCTAGCAGCCCGGATCTCCAGTCAGGGAGAGGTATGGACCTTCTCTTAGGATTGGGAGGGTGAGTCATGGAAGACAGATGACATCAACTATGGTTCACGCAAGAAACAACAAGCGAGGGCGATAGAACACGTGAGCGTGAAACCAAATGAAAGGAGGAAAAAATTATTCCTTTTGCAAATGCAAAGATGGGAAGTAATTAAATGTAGGCAGATTTGACATGGTTCTCAGAAATGCAAAGAGGTTCCTTTTGTCTTAATTTTCTTTTCTTCTGTGTTAATTCTCTTTCATTTTGCTCGTTGTCATGTATGCTGGTGCATGCAAACATGCAATGTGTATATGGATAGCATAATAATTTTCTACTTCCTATTTTGCCGTGATTCCTCTGTCACATGACATGCAATATTCAATAAGGAGAATGACACGATCAATCAGTAATTAATATGTCGTGGGATCGCAGGCGTGGACAAACGGACGAACCAAAACAAATGTTGCACCAAAAAATATCTATATTTTATTCTTTTTAGTTGTATATAAGAGATAGATAGATAGATAAATAGATTTTGATGAACTGGAATTATTCCTGGCTCCAAACCAGAGTAACCGAACGGGCCCTAAATGGACACTTAAGATCGATTCTAATCACTAACCTGCTACTAATCCATGCCAACAATCCTGTGTATCTTCCATCTTGACGATCCATGCGAATATGCGATGAGATCACTTGAACACGATTGGTTCTTATTTGATTAGAATGAATCCACTTCACGCACGATTTGGCTTGGATTCTTTTTATAGACCTATATCGAATTCAAAGGATAAGAAACGGGAGGAAAGATTCATCAGACCCACCCGACCGTTTAGATCTTTGGCTGCTCTCCTGCCCCTCTCTATTTTCTAGCTTCAATCCCACACCAGCCTTTAGGATTTGAAATGGAATATAATCTATCTATCTATCTACTATTACACCTAAAAGAGAGAGAGAGAGAGAGAGAGAGAGAGAGAGAGAGAGAGAGAGAGAGAGGGTTTTGTACACAGGACCCGGCGCTTTTCAATTATCATCTATTTTTTTTCAATAAACACGTCACAAGGACAAACAAAGAATTGGGCATTCTCTCGAAACCCTCAAGAAAGAGCTCATAGAAGCCAACGCACACTAGGCCAGACGCCGCACCGCACGAAGCTACCGAGGTGAGGTCGTCGTTGAGGAGCTGGTGAGCGTTGAAGCGTGCTGCTTGGAGCTCAAGAAGGCACTACGGCAAGCCACCAATTCGTCGTACGTCTACCAGCTGCGCAACCTTAGTTGGAACCTGTTTCTACGCAAGGGAAACAAGTATTACAGCGAGGTATCATTGCCCCGCTGAATCGATTTGAATGTAGTTCAAAATTTCAAATACAAAATCATTTATTAACATTTTGTTATTTGTAATGGTAAAATCTATGTGGTCCCATGCAACGCATGGGTATGTATCAAGTTCTTGAAATAAAATTCGATTCCACAGAAGCAAACGGGCCGTATGAGGCTTCCAATATGGCTATTTATTACAAGAATTAGAAAAACAAATGAAAAAACATGTTTCAATAGAATTTCTAACTCTCTGTCTTTTCTGTACTCCAAAAACACCATTTTAGTTCTCCACTTTTGGAGAGATTACATGGCTCTCTAAATGCAATATATGATAGTTTTTTAATATTTTTTTCCACATAAGGAAAATTATGATAATTTATATTGAAGTATAGAGAACAAACATTAGTGTCCGTTGGAGACACCAGAGATATACAAAGAAATAAATATATATATATATAGGTATATAGATTAAATTTGTAGAACCTCTTATAGTGTGTTTGGATCCCATAAATTAATTAAAACCAATAATATCTAAAAATGCCTCCCATTTCATTATTGGTTACTTTCTAATTTCTCAATTCTTGGGAACCAAACAGGGCCTTAGAGTTTGCCCTTAAGTGATCTTGACGTGCTAGTGAACTTTATAGTTTTTTTTTTCTTCCGCAGGAGCTCTGCCTTTCAATAAAGTAAGGGCGGACCTGGTGCAAGCGGTAGAGTCTTACCGTCTGTGACCGGAAGGTCCTGGGTTCGAGTCGTGGTCTCCTCGCATTGCACAGGCGAGGATAAGGCTTGCCACTGACACCCTTCACCAGACCCCGCACAGAGCGGGAGCTCTCTGCACTTGGTACGCCCTTTAAAGAGTTTACACACAGGTACCACGTATCCACATGAATTATTTGAGACACAACAAGCTCCAAGTGATCAAATTGATCAGCATCACAGCATGTATATTCGTTCATCCCAATGACAGGTTCATATAAGACTTTATGTACAGCCAACTGCCCAGCTCTGCCAAAAATGCCCTCTACTGTACGACTGGAGAACATTTTATGTTCTTCTACTTCTGTTCCTATGCCTATACCGACTGTCTCAACCACGAGCACGTCCTCTCAACTTCCGAAGGTAGGGGTTACAGAGAATGTGATCTGTTGAACTGAATCATCAGGCAGTTGATGCACCTAGGATACCAAGTGACTAATGTAGAGATAATAACATATTGCACTATATATACTAAAAGTGTAAACAAAAAGAGGACCTCAAGGTCAGTCTGATATACAGAAGGCTATAGAACACGAGGGGGATGAAGGCATTGTCCAGCTGTGCAGTGTATGCCTCCAACAATCCACTCAATGTGACAGCTATCAGAAGTGAACCAATTCTGTGTCAGAAAGGAAAATATGGGTCAGCAAGATGTTGTGTAAGCTTGCTTTGTTGGTTTTGCTGTCAGTAGCTAGCTTAAAAGCAAGAACGAGATCGGACCTGCGAAAGAATGTACCCACTGGAAGCTAAGAGTGACACCAGGATCGACCAGGCTGCTAGCACCGAAGTTATGCCCGCTGCCGTGCCTTCAATTGTTTTCTCTAACATTTCAGAGAAGACCAAAGCATAAGAGTTCAGAGAACAAAGAGTGGAAGGACATAACACATAAGAAACTGGACTCACTTCCTGTCTTGCTCCATCTTAACACGCCAGACTTTGTACCCTATCATTGATGCCTAGGTAAAAGAAAACAAAGAGAATCCATCATATGGGTCAAATCAAAGATAGTAATCAACGGATCACACAGATTAGACACAGAACTTACCATGGTATCACCTATCCCCAAGCTGAGAATTCCAGCAAAAGGGGCAAGTGGTCGATCATTTAATCCAGATGACATCCATTTGGGAAGTGCGCAGCCCAGTAAGAGTGAAAAATGGCTGAACACACCAATAATATAAGGTTTTCAACCACAGAACGTGACAAGAGGTAAGATATGAAATGAGGAAAATGAAGCCTATTAAAGCACACCTACCTGACAATAAGAATCTCAGAATCACGATGATCGGTAAAGGCGTTCATAAACTGATGCACAACATGCCCAAGAGGGTATATTTCCCAAATCCGAGGCATGGTTAAACATTTTTTTTAGGGGGGGGCAAATGAGGGACGGGTTACTCAAATTAAATGAGTGAAAATAACTTGGGAAGACAGAAGAATAGGTCTCTTACTCGTATCATCTCCAATATCGAGAAGACTGCAAATGCTGCACCAAATGCCAAGTCCAAGAAAGCAGGCTGCAAAATACAAACAATTTTCCAGACCAAAATACTTAATATTCTGATGGAAATTGAACCTTGTTTTAGGACTGATGAAAATCAAACCTAAATACGCACAAACCACCTGAAATATAACTGCAGAAGACAAAATGAGAACAGCGACAAGATGATAATACTTGCGCAAAAGAATCCTCTCTGTCTTGCTTTGCTTTGATATACTGTAGAACCTTCTAACTGATACATATATTACACATATCCAGTATGCACATAAAGCAAGTCGTTCATGTGAATCAGTGAACATATAGTTAATAATCCTGTGAAACAATGAAGCATTAAGCAAACATAAGTCAACATCTCAAAAGATTTTTCAAGCAACAACATCTCACAAATTGTAAATAGTCCATTCCAAAAATGTTCTCCAGCTAGCCTATTCACATAGACCAAGGAGTCCCTGTTAAATTATGTCTATCAACCACTGAACATTAATAGTGCAGGTAGAAGATGAACAGAATGACTTTGCTATCAGTTATATCATACTCCCTCCGTCCCAAAAAGACCGTAGTTAGAGCTACGAACCTGGACAAACACTTGTCCAGGTTCATAGCTGGAACTATGTTGTTTTTGGGACAGAGGGTGTAGACAATATATTTTGAAATGAGGAATCCCAATAACCAAACAATTACTATATTTAAGAACAGAAGGGATATTCAATTTAAGGGTGTCAAATTAAATGATGTGCATTGACTAACAGGCGCATGGCCGTGTGCATGCCTTCTAGGCTCTTCTCGTGAAAGGGTGAACTGCGATGCTTACCAAACAAAAGGATGCACTTTGAGGCCTTGGACAAGGTGTGTCCATGATGGCAGTAAAAACATTAACACCACCACCAATGAGATATAGAATAAGGCAGAACCAATTCTTTTTCGTGTATGTTCCTCAGCTGCTTGTGTTTGTTGCTTTCCCTCCATTCTACAGCAATCCCAAACTTGAAGAAAACTCTTATATAGTAACGGAAGTAGAAAAAGGCCAAGTAAAAACCCCTGCCAAAATGAAAGCGAGTAAGCATAAATGTGCAATGAAACTCATGCCACACAACCAAAAGCAACCCTACCTGAATAATTGCGGTCATATCGCTTCTAGTTCCAGGTGTGTGAATGAATGCTTTTGATGACATGGAGAACTCCATCCGCCATCACAAATGCAAGGCAAAATAATTAAGTAAATAAATAATCATCTTTGCCACTAGCTGGTACCCTGGTAGAATAAATCATACCTTTGAAAGTGTATGTGCCAACATATCACCAAAGTAGAGAACAAGACCACCTGACACCAGAAGCGCCTCCCCTGAAATATGCAAAAGTGTAAATAAATGAGGGTGAAAAACGAAATAAGTCCAAGTCAAGGTAATCGAAAAATACACTGATACAATACAGAAACAACAGAGGACCACAAGTGATTACTAGACTTGTATACAAGATATATTAAGGTATGAATTTCTACTAGCATATGAAACTAGACATGATGAAAAAGAAGAGAAATGAAGACCTAGTTACATCTTAGACTTTAGTTACAAACCAAAAGATGCGCATGAGGGAAACTTCTCTAGAATATGCTTGATTAAGATCACAGCAGCCACTCCATGACAGAGCATATACACCATATCGGTCATTACCATCAGGCCTAGAATAAATCCAGCACGTAGGTCAGTTTGAGAACTTCCTTGGTATGCAGTATGCTGAACCTAAATTACATTTAAATGTGGATTACACATGCGTGTTACCTCCATCAGTCTTCAGTAGAAAGGACAAAAAGAATGTCATGAGATATAAAACTATCAACAATGAGCCGTACTCCAAACGTTTAGAAATTCCATTGCTGGGAGACTTCCGTAGATGCCAAAGGAATAAAGCTAGCAGACTGAGACAGCTGATTGATGCTGCCCAGTACTGCATTTCCAGGTATGCAAATTCTGGAAATGGAAACACAATGTAATTAGCAAATTGTGTCCATGGCAACTGAATAGACAACAAATACAACTTAGAACCCCTTTGAGTTGTTAAATTTGAATGTGGAACTGAGGCAGATCTTCATTTAATAGCCAACATGATCGAGACAGCAAAATCGAAACACACCTTTAGGTCCATTAGGATCAGTTGGTAAGAGCCTCGACAGTTGAATTAACCGAGAAAGCATGACGCTGGGCAGAGTAGTGGCTCCAAGAAGTATGCCTGATGAAGCGCCTGGCCTGTAGCACACACAATACATCATTGTTATGCTTTCCTTTTTTATTTGTCTTGCTAGAAGCACAGATAAGAGCATTTGTCGAGTATAAGCTACATAGTGAGCATATACCCCAGAAGAGAACTAATAGATTAGCGACTAAGGAGTACATGCGGTTTTGGACATCGCAGAATCCCAATTAATCTGAAAAGGAGTCCCTAAGCCTATTCTTTACATTCCTGTCAACTGAATAGTTATTAGACACTAAGGCTCATGTTTAACCGCATTTTGGTGCAACGGAGAGCGAACCCCATTTTTACTGCATGTAGAAGCCAACAACCCGACTGCACAAGGGATCAGCCCTTACGACTGCAGCTCAATATCCAGTGAATCTAGTAATGCAATACTTGTCTCCCGATTTTAGCTGCATTCCACACGTTGAAGCAGCCTGAATTTGATCATCACTCGCACGAATCAGCCTCCGAGTCTCCCCGCTCCGTGCGGGCAGAGCTTTTTGCGCCTGAGTAGAGATATATTGTCCCGTTCGTTTGGCTCATAAGGTCTATAAAAATAATTTTATCTAAAAAAGCCAAAATAGGGGTACTAAGTAGAGATATATTGCCTTGTTCACTTGGCTGACAAGGCATTGCTGAAAGTATTGTTGGCTGATTTGTTGTGAGAGAAATACTGTTCGTTGGATGAAAAAGTACGGCTGATAAGACAAGCGAACAGGGCAATAGGTTTTGTTTACTATTGCCATGTTCGCTTGGCTTATAAGCCGTGCTTTTTCAGCCAGCGAACAGTATTTTTCTCTTACATAAATCAGTTCAACAGTACTTTCAGCTAGGTTTTATCAGCCAAACGAACAGGTATACTAGTTTGTTATATGCACATTACATACTCTTGTTGTCTGTCGGATTGGAGCCGTTTTTAAACTTCAGCTCCATGCACGAGCAGTTCTACTAATGAAAGTAAAGCTATTTAGATTTTCTCTTTTTTTCGATAAAATAGCTTCTCACATTTTCAGATTCATCAAACACTCACCCCCACCTCAAACACTCGCACCCACCCAGATTTTAAAGAGCTCCTAAAACTATTGAAAAAGCTATGTCAAACGGGACATAATTCTCACCCCCAATTCAATTTTGTACTGAAACAATCAGATATTGTAAAAGCAGGCAAAATTGCAACAAAATTGACGAGCTCAGAGAGGTGCTAATCTGCTGAAGGAAGGGAGTAACCCTTCTCATACAAGAGGTGTCAGAAATAAGCAACAACTCAGGAATAGGAAACCATACATGCCAAGTAACTTTTCCGGTTACTAGAATAGACACATGTGCGAGCCCTCATGAATACAGGAGGAATCACAGAGCAGCTTGCAATCTCCATTGTGCACACTCCACACCACATTATAACATCCACGGCTAATACAAAGTTTAAGAACTGCCCAAAGTCTAATACTCATAAAAAAATGACATCACACTAGGATTGTCATTTCTCCTTCAAAATATAGGATCATGATTAACCAACAGGTACTTGGCAGTAAACTAAACACTGCAGCCTTGCGTCTGGTCCTAGATCTGGTGCAACTCTTCAGCAGCTTGAACACAAAGTATCCTGAAAACAAAACAATTCCTAAATGGTTAGTAGATCGGATTATGATAGTAATTGTAATTTAGAGTTGCATTACAGTAAACCAGAAAAAAAATCCCTAAACATTGCACCCCCTTCAGAAGGAACAATCCTGCAAATACAAAAACAGATGCTACTTCAATCACATGCATCACATGAGGGCCACCAAGTAACTTAAATTCAAAGCTCTAACTCAAATACCACCCAGTTCAAGCTTCACAAGAATATGGATGAAGATACATGGACATGTGCATCCAGCCTGTCAATGCATTTACATATCAGATTCTTCCTTCGCAGAAAGAACAAACAGGAAAAACAAAACCAAAAATAAACATTATACAGATGAACTAGTACTTGATAATGCATGCTCTTATGGTAACAAGTGCCCAACTTGCTGACAACAGTCAAGCGCCGTAAGTGTGTATGTGATGCAAATATCTAGATAGCATTGACGTTAGTCCAAAGGAAAATGAACGACGCGCCTTACGAATAGCTGGGCCAAAAATTGCTATCTCCCTCCCTCCCTCCCTCTTGTATGGCCCAAGGAGTTCTGGGTCTTATTTAGTCTCCAGCAGCTGTCTTTTTCTTTTCTTTGTGTGGATTATTCCAAATGCAACTATTTGTACCTCTATTTATGCTCTAAGTGCCTGTGCTGCTATTCCGGATTCAACTATTATTCCGAGCACAATTTGTTAAAAACAGAAAGTACTAAATTGTGGACACTATCAGAAACCATAAATCAAATGGCGGAAAACTACCCTACTATTCCTGACTCCACTTTCAGACCATCTTAAATTGAAATTATAATGATTTTAGGGGAAAAAAACAAGGTTTGGAGATTATAGAAAGAATTTCGAAGATATCTTGATCAATGTCAAAATATCATTTAGAATCTGGATCAGAGATTGGCGTTTACTTTAAGAAAACATGATGAATTAATTTTAAAATGATGACAAAATTACAGATATTGATATTACTGGAGACCAGCTTGTATTTATGCTTCTTTCTTATTTGTGCTAGTGCTTTTACAAAAAAAAAAAAAGAAACAAGTTCCAAGAGGGTGTTCAGGTAGATGGCACTTTAGTCTGATTAATTGGTTACTGGACTACATACCTACACCATGCATTTGATTTTTAGCATAACAATATAATTCTATTTTTCAAAGGTTACTGGACTACATACCTACACCATGCATTTGATTCATTTAGCATAACAATATAATTCTATTATTCAAACCACAATGTTTTGTTTATCATACATGCCTTTATCGCTACATATAAATATTGAGAGAGGGCAAAAGAGGCCTCGACTTCAGCAGGGAAGTGTGTTGCTTCGAGATGCATTATGAGATCACTCACTGAGGACCCAAAGTAGTTCTTCTGTAGTGCTGGCTATGCTGTAAGGTGCAAGCACGCAATAGCAGGGCACCAGTACTAGCACATTCTATTGTTGACAACGATGCCCAATGGAATCTACATTGTTGTCCAAGTAATATACAAGCATATTGCTTTTCACTTGTATTTCTCTAACCAAGGCTGCTGAATTGGCCACAGGAGTAGGTGTACTAACTGTACCAGTAGTTGGTGTTTCTCTCACCAAGTCTAGAGATGTGTATATTCTATGCAATGAAACTGAAGAGCAGTTCAGTTCAGCTTTTGCACTTGCTGTGCGTGAGTGTACTCTGTTCTCAGCTCCCTCTCTCTTCTACCTCTAGCCCAAACCAGTGTGTGCGTGCTTGTGTGTGAGCTGCTGCTCACCTGTTCAGGCCAGCCAGTTTCCAACATTCTGCGCTATCTAAAACTCTGAAAAGAGAAGTTAGATTCCACTAGTATTCCTACTGCTACCAGCAGACTCCGTACCTAATACTAGTAATCGAAGCATATTTAGTTGTAGCAATAGATAATGCTAATATGCACACAACTCATGCCAGAAAGCTGAAATGAACCATACAGGATGCATACTACGCATGACCGGAAGAACAGGTTACTTATTTTAACTATGCACTAAAATGTATATAAAATGGGGAAACAATACTGAAATTGATATATTCTAATCTATTTCAGTTTAACTGAGAACACATTTATGTCCGTAATCTGACCATGCACATACTACATGTCTACAAGTTCAGTCAGTGTAGACAAAAGATAATCAGCACTGGCCATACATCAGCCATTACTTGGCACTGTAGCCATACTCCTATATGTGACGTATGGATAGCCATCAGGTTAGGGATAGGGATATGTATTGGATATAGAAGAGGTGGGTTTGGGTTAGGGATATATGAATTTTATCCTTTTCCTTTGATAGGGAGCAGCTGGCTTTGGGATTAAATTTAGGTGGGTCCCACGAGATAAAAAAAAGCACACACGCCTGTACTCCTCTCCTCGTCCATTCAATCCAGCCACCAGAGTCTTCTCATCCCCATCCAACCGTAGGCTTGACCAAGCTCGGTGGCTCCGGCAATCCGCGCGTCTGTGTGTGGGATAGCAGTATAGCACGACTCCAGCGAGCGCAGCTCTCTGCAGGCAGCATGTGTGAGGCATGGGCGGATCGGCTCATCGGCAGTGTGCGAGGCTAGCGGCGGCTCCGGGTGACGGGCGCCAGCACTGTTGCGGCGCACAAGGCGAGCCTGTCAACCCCAGGCCAGCGCTCGTGGCGGCGTGAGCAGCTGCACACACAGCTCCGACGTCCTAGGGTGTCGGTAGCGCGCTCTTTCATCCGCCGGAGAGGACGACACGAGGACGCGAGGTTAGTGCTCAATCGTGCAGTAGATCTCCGGCTACTAGTGCGGCGTGCTTGGCTCCAGCGTCCACCGCGGGCTCGGTCCAGACATCCAACGGCCGGCGCATGTGTGCAGGGGCGAGCGCGGCTCTGCTGCCGGCATGCCGCGCCGCGCACGCCATTTCACGTCCAAACCCAGCCCTCCCGTTGGGTTAAGAACACTGGGATAGAGCATCCTCATTTCCCTATCCCAATCCATGTTTATTTCCCTATCCCACTATCCAAACACGGGTTCAAATCTATCCAACTCTTCATATCCCTATCCCAGCTCTCATTTCCCATGAACCAAACGCCACCATAGTACATAGGAAGACCAGCACAGTTGACCTATTGCCTAATCTCTGCTTTCAGCAAAATATCTAGAGCAAGCAGCAGATTATCTTACACAGAACTTGATATATATACACCAGAGAAAATTCTTATCTCGAAACCCTGGTCTAGACTGCATCTGTTTGTTGCGGTGTAAACGCAACTTCTGTAATATTTAAGCATGGTGTTATCTTATGTACGCACGTCATGCATTAGCTACTAAGAAACCTGATATAGTCAAGTTAAAAAAAAAGAAACCTGATATAGTCCAGCTTTTTTCAGTTCCCAAACATTGTTCAATTATAACTGAATTTGTGTGTGCTCCCATACGGCCATACTTAGAATAGAATAGATGGCAACAGTTTTATCAGCTTTTTGTCAGTTCCTAGGCATTGTTCAGTTAACATTGAACTTGTATGTGCCCCCATACTTAGAATAGAACATATGGGTATAATCTTATCATTTTTTTTCATTCTCTAATTTATAATATCTCTGCACTTGTCTCAAATAACCATGCAGTGCATCGGAACAACTACAAATTTTTTATGCTTCATTACAGCTAGCTGAAACATTATCGATGTCTAGTAGTTCCAAAGTTGATGTTAGTTGTTGAGGATACATGCCATCATCATTTGAACGTGCACTGGTCATAGATAATTAAGATTTCTATGGTACAAAGAATATGTTTCTGTGTCTGATCCATAAGTCCTTATTACCAGAGCAATGAAACCTCCTTTTACTTTACAACCAGAATTATTTTTTCCTATTTCTGATCCACAATTCCTTATGTCCAATGTCATATGTAACCATAAACATTTATTTCAAAACCACAACTATTGTTTCCTCTACAATCTGCAAATCCACATGCCTAACGTTTTTATTAATCATCAAAGTTCATTGAAGAATAAGAAATCACTTAAAGCATATCAGTAAACTAAAAAATACCATGAGGTTTGTTACTATAATACAAAAGTCAATTACGCAGGTATTAAGCTGCATGATTTAAGGATACAGAAAATAGACTGAAAGCAGTTTTAAATCATTGTACACAAATTTGGGAGTGAGCAAGACTCACGTTAATCAGACGAACATTGCCAGCTCTGGACGGCTGAAGATGTTATCCCCATCATCATCCAGGGCAGGATAAGAAGCAACAAGCGCATCCTGTGCACCAATGTACAGAGAGTTGTAAATCTTCCAATAAACTTCACGCACTTTCCTTGCTGGATGGAAGAGACCTTGCAGGCAATAATTCAAAATCACAGCTGCACCTAGTGCGACCCTCATTCCCTCAATTGCTTCCATGACAGCATTTATAACGTGGGGAGATGTCTCAAATATGTTGGGCCAAACATAGTTAAGCAGATGGACAAGAGCATCCTCACAACCCAGGCCAGCAACGCCTAGAGCCATGTGCTTAACAGCAGAGGCAGCAGTCTGCCGGTGAACCAGATCCCTATCCATTAAAGCATCTTCAAGCAAGGGAGTGACAGCATATATGTAATCTTTGCCCATCTCACCAATATACTCAAAGAGGAAAGAGAGTGACTTCAGAACACCATTTTGGACATTGAGCTCTGGGACCCGGTACTCATTCATAAGGGCAGGCAAAACTGTGAAAGGTGAGCAAGTTTCAGCAACTATGGCAATCGCTACAGTTGTGCAGACACGGTTCTGTCGCTCCTGCACCTTCAAGTTATTCAACAGGGTGGCCAACACATCCTGCGGCCCTATAGCCTTTGCAATATAACCAAATGTGTTCACAGTGGCTCTCCTAATACCCTTCTTATGAGCCTTCAACATTTCTAGCAGCTCAAAACAAATCCTCATCCATTCCCTTGCTGGCACAAATTCTGCTCCACGATCAGCAATCCTACCAACAAGATCAATGCAGTTCTCCTGGACCTTCTCATGCCTGTTCTTCAAGATGGGGGTCAGACGAGGAAGAAGATCCTTGATTGGAGGAGTCATTTTAGTCATACCAATGACATTGACGATAGCCTTCAAGGCTCCAAGAATTGAACCCAGCACCTCAGGATACTCCTCCCCTAAGTACTCATACAGCACAACACCCAAGTGACCCATAAGCTGCTCCTCCTGGCACTGCTTCATGACAATGGCTATCCTGGAGATCAGATCAGCAGCTTGCTGCCTAACTTTTGCACTCTTGTTGTTCAGTCGCCACTTGATGGTACCACAAATCTGAGGAAGGTATGGCTTAACTCTCTGTCCAAGTGCATTAACCACAGCTCCAAAACCATTAAGCATAACATTTGCATCATCACTAGTCTGTTCTTGGAAAGCATACAAGATACCATCAATAAGCAGCTCCTCCAGACGAGCATCAATATCTGAAGCACCCAAGTTGGCCACCACCTTCTCAATTGTTTCCATCACCATTCTTCTGTAGGGCTCGCTTTCATCTTTCAGATCCTCAACAATCCTCCCAACTATATCAGCAACTCCAACCTTGTTTGCCATCTCCACTGTAGTTTCCACAAGCTGCTTATAGTTCCTCCGATCTAGAGCCATTCTCCTCACCCAGAAGTGCTTGAAGAAATCTGGAAGGATGTCATTCCGGATATAATCAGCCTCCACACCCTCTGTACTGACACACTGTTTCACAACCTTGAGGACAATCTTCTTCATTTCTTCATCTGGAGACTGAAACTCCCTAATGAGGACCTGCATCACCTCCTTTGTGTAGTAACTAGCATACAGAGCATCCATAAGAGGGATGATGAAACCAATGGCCTTCAGGAAGGCAGCAAGGACCTTCCCGCGGTGAGATCTGATACCCTTCCATAAAGGTTTTAATACAGTATCAAAACTTTCTATACCATATGGTGCAGCAGCCTCAGCAAGTGCAGCGAGAGAGAGGGCAGTAATTGTCCGGACTTTCTGGTTTCATCGCTCAAACCATGCTCAATGATCTCAACTAGTGACTTGAGATGTGGCAAAACAGCACAGCCCATGAGAATAGCAATCTGCTGAACAATTTTGATACCAGTGTGCCTAGCCTGCCACGATTTCTTACTCTGACAGACAGCCTTCAAGAATGGCAAAAGCGCAGGGATGCCCAAAGCAGAAGCCACCACACTGAACGCCCTAGCAGTCGTGTTTACGACATACTCATCAATGTTATCAATGTCCGGTCGCATGGCAGCAATCATAGTAGCAAGCCCAGCTGCTTTGCTAAGATTTGAGATGATCTCCCTGCCTTCAACACGAGCATAGTAGTCCTCATCAATCAACAGTGGCTCAATAACCACAAGAATCTTGTGCACAAAAGGACGGACCAGCTCATCCAACTTATACAGTACCCTATCAATAACCTTCACCAGAAGATGCCTCTCCTGGTCCTCCAGTGTTGGCTGCATGAGTAAGGGCAGGATTTTGTTGAACAGTGGTCCAGCACCGAATTCCCGGCTTTGTCTGTCAGTTGTCGAAGTGCTGTTTTACGCTGTGGGGGTGTGCCATTCTTCACTTTGAGTAGCAGTTTCATGATTTTCCTCTCCTTCTGCTCCTCAGGCGATAGCTGCTCCTCCTCTTCCTCATTCAGTAAAGTTCCAAAGTACTGGTAATCCTCTGGCTTCATCAGCGGTAATCCACCAGGCAGCTCCTTGGGCACATCAAAATGCTGCCCACGATTCTCCTCTGGAATAGCATAAAGTGGTGTCCCCAGCGGTGTTGGTGTCGCAAGGAGCTTCCTTGCCGGGGTCCTGATGGGCTGGTAGGAAGCCGGAGGCTCAAGAATCTTGTACCCCTCCTGCGGGAACATGGCATCTAGCTCCTCGTCGGTGAGAGGCCTGTTCCTCTCCTCAATGTCCCGCTCCCACCGCATGAGCTGGTACTGCTCTGGAGTAATCGGTCCACGAGCAATCTGGCTAGGAGTTGGTGTGGAAAGGTTCTCTGCACCAAATGGCGTCGGACCAGGAGTATAACCAGCAGGTGTTGCAGCACCAAGACCACCAGGGGTTGCACTTCCCATACTCGCTGGCGTCTCATCCCACCTTGATCTCTGCTTCTTACCAGGGGTTGGCGTGACACCACCAGGCAGCTTTGGAGTCGCATCCCAAGCACCAGAAGGAGTAGCCCCAGGGGTGGCACCACCAGCTGCAGGCGTCGCATCAGCATCAGCCATCCTCCCTGGAGTCGGTGTCTCATCCCATCTGTTCCTTCTCACCGAGGGTGTGGCATCTCCAACACGTCCAGGGGTGGCATCCCAACGCCCAATCCCAGGAGTTGCATCAGGGGCATCCCAGTCCGAGGATGTCTTTGCCTTCTTGGCACCGGCAGCAGCATCACCATCCTGCGACTGATCCCACCTGTTGCGCCGCTTCGTCGTGGCAGCCGGCTGCTCTGGCGCAGCAGCCTTCCTCTCCTTCTCCTTCTCCTCCTCTTCCTTCTTCTTCTTGGCAATCTCCCTCAGCAGGTCCTCCTTCTTCTTCTGCAGCGCCGCGTCGCGCATGACGTCGGCGTAGGTCCGCACCGATGGGTCCGGGGTGGCCTCCCCGGCGGCGAACGGGTCATGGCGCTCCGGCGAGATGATCTGGTTGAGGCGGCGGCGTCGGTAGTCGTCCTCGCGGTCGATGATGCGCTGGGACCTCTTGGGCAGCCCGTCGTCGTCGTCGGCCGACCGCGGGATGTCGGCGGCGGCGATGGCGTGTCCCGTGTACGCCGCGAGGCGGCGCGGCGCGGGGTTGGCGGCCTCCGTGTCGTCCTCCGCGGCGTCGTCCTCGGAGGCCGGGATGGAGGTGTCGTAGCCCGCGAAGCGGTTCGGGTCGGCGCCCCCGCCGCCGTAGAGGTCGGTGTCGAAGGTGACGGAGGACACGGCCATGGGCGCGCCGGCAGCCAGCGCCTCCTCCATCTTGCGCCGCTCCTCCTGCGTGCGCGCGAGATCCGCGTCGATCGAGTCCATGGCGGCGGCGCGGGGGTGAGCTGGTAGGGTTTGCTCTGGTGGACGATGCGAGATTGGGGGAGGAAGGGGACAAATGAACGATGTCTAGCTAGCGGGAGAGGCCCTTCACAAGTTCACATGTGGTGGATTGAAAAATCTCGGTGGCAAGATCTCGTACGTTGATTGGTCATAGCTGCGGTCCGGACCGTTCATTTGTGGTACAGGCAACCGACTTCTCCAAAGTCGAAACAAGCCCTCGCCCCAATCGGCCAAATCCACTCGATCCCCAATCCGTTCAGGCCGCCGCCCTCTCCGGCGTGAAATTTTTATATTTTTGTCTCTTTTGAAAACAATTTTTAGAAAAATACTCATGTCAAAATATTTTCTGAAAATAGATCATTTTTAGGCGTCTTAGAACATGACGCCGAGGTATGGGGGTCGGCGTCGAGTGACACGACGCCGAGGTATTGCCATGTCACGGACGACCGGGGTCGTCGGCGACACGGTGGCGAGTGGGTCCGAGACTTCGGCGTCGTGTCATCCAACGCCAAGGGCCCAACCTTGGCGCGGCTGGACGGCGCGCCGAGCTATTGGCACCATCCGGCGCGCGGCCCAACAACGCACGGTGGCTCAGTAGCTCGCCGTTGGGTCACTTAACGCCGAGTCTCCAGACCTCGGCGCGGCCCAACTCAACGCCGAGGTCCGGTCCCTTGAGGCCGCGCCGAAGCCCCCTTCTTCTTCCTCCCTCCATTCTGAAGACCGCCGGCCTCCAAATCCCCCACGGCCCCCACAAAACTCTAACCCCCAAATGCGACTCTAGGTGCCCGAATCTTGCCTCCCGAAGCTTTCTTGAGGTAATGGTCTCTCCCCTCCTCCAATCTATCCGCATAGATGTGCTTGCATTGTCCCTAATCATGTGGAATCATGGATGTATAGTGTTTTGGTATATTTGTGTTTGCATTTGCAAAATGTATGGCTTAGGATGATTGAGTGCATTGTTGTTTAACTGTTTTATGTGCTGAACATGTTAGGTTAGTTTGATTTCTAGTTATTTTGGTCATTAGAGTTCTTTGTTTATTGTAGATGTCATTAGGGTTAGTTATTTGTTGGTCATTAGGGTTAGTATGTATTTTATTTATTTGTTGGTCATTATATTTTAATTTTTTATGACCAAGGCGTTTTGCCAAGGTACTCTTTTCCCTCTTTCATTTCATCCATTTAGATTCGGTTGTTTTTGAACTTGGCATTATAGGTTTGGTTTATGTTCATGTCATTCGTGCAATGTATGGTGGTTCAAATGATTGAATGACCTAAATGTATGGTTGTTGTTGTTGTTGTATATGTTCTGGTTTATAATCATTGAGTTAAATTTTGTGTTTGTTGGGATTCAAATTTGCTTAGGGTTTGTAATGAAAAGCTTATTTGGGAGGTATGGTGATTTAGTGTTAGTAGCTTTACATTCGTTGCAAGGTACTTTGGATTGATTTTTTTTCTACGTAATGTTAGGATGCCAAGGCGTGGTAAAGCTCATATTCCAAGGTAATCTCAATGTTTATTCATTATTTGTGCAACAAATAAAAAACCCTAGGTTTAGGTTTGGTTCTCCGTTAATATGACTAAATTCTTTTAATTGTAGCTATGGTCGTCGAGGAGGCAAATCCCTCGACCTAAAGCTTTGTCCCCTGAAGGTGTTCCTCGACCAATGTGCTTTTGTGGTGATCCTTGCAAGGTAGACATCTCTCAAGATGAGAAAACATATAGATGACATGTCTTTGGATGTGTCCCAATTATGCATGGGAACCTACAAAGCAACAAAGGTCGTCATCATCGTTTAAGAGAAATTTTTATTGTGTGTTAATTAATTTTCTTGTGATATTAAGTATTGCTTATTTATTTGTTTTGTAACAATTTGTTTTTCTTGCAGATCGTTCCACCACTATGTGACTTTGAGCAGTGGATTGACACTGAGATGAAGGAGTCGGACAAGGAGCATCTAGAAGGCCTGAAGGAGTGGGATGCCGAGGTTAAGGAGAGGTTTGAGCAGAGACGTAGACAGGAGGCTATAGAAAAGGAGCATAAGGAAGAGGAGGAAAGGAGACGTGTTGTTTGCGTCATGTGAGCGGAGTGGGAGAAGAAGCTTGAGCGTGTGCGCCGAAAGCGAAGGCAGATGATGGAGGAGAATCCGATGCCCGAGAGGAAGAAAAGTGGCATCGTTGCACTCCGGTAGGTATTTGGTTTATTCACGAGCGATGTCGTGTAGCCCTGGACTTTTTTTACTATGTTGTAATGCACTCTGCTTTTATTTCAGATGAACTTATTCCCTGAATTTTTTTTATTATGTTGTAATGCACTATGCTTTTATTTCAGATGGTCTTATGCCTTGTACTTCGTTAACTATCGTAAGACTGTAGTGCTACTGTTTGTATCACTGAAAAGGCTACTTGTGCTATTGCGATCCCGAAAGGCTACAAATCTCTTGTTGCGATCAATGGAAAGTCTATTTGAAAACTCACTAAAAAGCCTAGATTCGTTTACTGTTGTATCCGTATACGCAGTGAATTAATATCAGAGTGATGTACTGCATTTAGATGAAGTGACAAAACACATGTGTAGCCTTTTCAGATGAAATGACCGGTCATGGTTGTAGGCTTTTCAGATAAAGCATCTAGCCTTTGCAGATTCAATAAATGAGTACGCACACAAGTTTTTTGTCAAGTAGCATTCATGGTGAACCTGCCTTCATCTCTATATATAGTGATCCATGTCTTGCTCCACATCCACACAACTTGTTTTCTGGTTTAGTTTTAGGAAATGTCGAGCGGAGGTTCCTCGAGTGGAAAGGGTTTCGGCGGAGGGAGAGGAAAGGGGGTGAGGAAGAGACCTCCGATTGTGTCGGAGGGTTCTCTAGGTCCTGATTCTTTTGAAGAACCAATAAAGGAATTTCCTTTGGAGAGGAAGAGTGACTTCACCCGTGAGAGACCTCTTAGATCATACGACAAGCGCATTGAAGATTGGCCAAAATGCCACCACGGTTTGGATTGCGTTGTGCAGATGTACAACGACTGTGACGGTGGAGGCCATCGTTTCTTCAGATGCCCGCGAGGATTTGTATTTCCTTTGAACTCTCTTCTTTTTAGATTTGCATTTGGTTTCTAGTAGTACTTATTGGTAGATGGGTTTTCAGGATTCAAGCTGTCCAGATAAATGTGGCTTCACTAGATGGGTCGACCCTCCTCCTATCTATCCCCATCAACAGTACATCACATATCTACAAGGACGCATCTTTGACCTAGAGTATGGCCCTGGAAGTGGTAACAGGGACAAGTCGGACGACGACAATAGCAATGATGCAGAGGAGGCACTATGCAATAATCCGTACTACGAGTGCCCGTACCATAAGAAGGACGGGCCTCCTTCTCCACCGCCACCGCCACCGCCACCGCCTCCGTCAACTGGAGGATACTATGGGGAAGGCGCAACTCAGTTCAATATGTGGGAGCATTATTAGGACCAACCTTTGTTAGTCAATCCGAATGTGGAATGCTTATGTATGAGTTGTTCTTTTCAATCTCCTAAGGCATGTTAGGTTTAGTTTGCAACATGCCATTGTTAGTTTTCATGTGAGTGTGTAACCTTTGCAATGTCTGTATCACTTGTTTCTTTCAATCCCCTAAGGCATGCTAGGTTTAGTTTGCGACATGCCATTATTAGTTTTGATGTGAGTGTAATCGTTGTGCATTCGCTATTTCATAAATTGCAGTTTACCTACCTCTAAGTTTCATGTACTATGGTTGATTTCCAAACTAAAAAAAAGATTTGACTCTCTAAAAATAGGGGATTGAAATCGAACCAACATTCGGTTTTTCCTGCAGGAATAAACATAAATATAGCATATCTACTCTTATTAGTATAACTCGTGTTAGTACAAGAGGAATCGTTGAGAAAGATTTTTCATTTGAATCATGCAAATAGGATTGCAAACCAAAGGTTTACAAGGTCTTTAATACTTTATTCTTTCTATTTTATGATTAATAGGCTCGGCGTCAAGTCGGACAACGCCGAGATAGAAGGCTCAACGTTGAGTCGGCCCACGCCAACCCTAGGGTTTGGCTCGGCCGTTTGCAAGTTGGGCTGAGGCTCGGCGTCGATTCGGCCCACGCCAACCCTAGGGTTTGGCTCGGCCATTTGCAGGCTGAGTCTCGGCGTCGAGTCGGCCCACGCCAACCCTAGGGATCACAACGGCCGGCACGAGGTTTGGGCCGGAACTCGGCGCTTAGTCGGACCACGCCGAGTTTAACGGCTCGGCGTCAATTTACGGCACACCGAGGTTGGGCATCTCGACGCTTCGAGGCAAAGGAATCCAGTATGCACCAGACGTCGGCGTCAAATGACTAAACACCGAGGTTGGGCACCTCGGCGCTTCGAGGCAAAGGAATCCAGTATGCACCAGACGTCGGCGTCAAATGACTAAACGCCGAGGTGCCCACACTCGGCGTGTGTGTTCAATTGACGCCGAGATCCTGGTGTTCTCTTCTTTGATTTGCTTCACTATTGCCCACTACTCTAATCACCGACGATGACCTTGTGCCAACAACGGACTGAGCTCGCTAGCTCCCCGACTCCTAAGCCGCCGTCCCCTTTATGTGCTTGCCATGTCACCGTGGATCCAACAGAGGTTGATCGTAACATGTAGGATGGGGATGATGACACCCTTGTTTCTTGTGAGTTGCGACGAAGGCCCTCTCTTGATAGTCGGAAACATGAAACATGGCGACGTTCCACATTTGGGGAATATCGTTATGAGGACAATCACATTTTCATTTCGAAATAAAGTATAGCTTATCTTAAATTAAATATCGTGGTGGATACGCCGAGCTTGGGGTTCACCAAAAAACATAATACATGTAATTTCACATAACAAATGACCACACCGACATACACATTCATTCAACATCCATACATACATAAGGTCCAACACATTCAACATCCAACATAGTCCATACATATGCTTCATCAATCAA